AAGTACACCGGATTAACCTGTTTAATGATCATGTCAGTTTGATCTTGAATGGCGTCGCGTCAAGATCACGTAAAGGTCACCTTGAATTTTTTTAACGGGACCTCCTATTTTTTATTACATATTCTTGTAGCTTATCTCGAGAGTTACTTTTGAGCTTATTTTTGGAGTTACAAGAGTTGGAAGTTACAGTACCGCCGGCATTAGCATTACCCAAGGTGTACCGCGTAGTAATGCTAATGCCGGCGGTACTGTAACTTTCAACTCTTGTAACTCCAAAAATACTTAACGAAGAAATGTTTCATTACAGTGTTTTGGAAAGCTCTCGAGATAAGTTACAAGAAAATGTAATAAAAAATAGGGGGTTCCATTTAAAAAATTCAAGATGACCTTTACGTGACCTTGACGACGCCATTCTAGATCGAACTGATATGATCATTAAATAGGTTATTTTAAGCCATTTAATTTAGTATGCTTATAACTTTCATTATCGTCGATCGTTTTCGAAATATTCGGCTGGCACGGATGGTCTGAATCACCCTGTATATATTTAGTCGTATATACGTCGTAGCGTCTTCTCTCTCTCTCTCTCTCTCTCTCTCTCTCTCTCTCTCTCTCTCTCTCTCTCTCTCTCTCTCTCGCTCCTTTCTCTCCCAAGAACGGCAAGTTTACTACAAAGGGCGAGGTACAAGAACGGACGAGCTTACTATAAAATGTCCGAGTATCCGTCCGTAATCTCTTCCTTCGCCGCGGAAAGTTGGAAAATCCGTTAGTGAAAATATTGCGTATGTGCACATTTAATTACGCGTCCGAGCGCGAACAAAAGTTTCCCTTATTACATTCGGATTAGAGCTGGAGTGCGAGTCGGAGGCAGGAGAGCTTGTTTCCATTGTGCCTCTCGCCCGTTGCTTTTAAATCGCGCGACCGGACTTTTCCCCGTGTATTCCTTAATGAAGGTTCCCTTGGGTTCTTCCGCCGCTTACTTCACGGCGCCGATAAGAAATTCACGAAGGCTTTGCGCGTCTACTTTTTCATCGATTTTGCGATTAAAGGCGCATTTAACGCGGGCGCTACAGTCACTCGGTAAACAATGCATTGTCTCGTCTCGTAGAGTATTGTTCCTTGTCATACTCGATAATACCTTCGCGAAGACACTTTCTTCCGCCCCGACACTTTCTCCGCGCTGAATGTCGCCACGGGACAATCGACTCGCATGTTCGGCTAGATACATTTATTTTCCTCGTTTTTGTAATTACTCGCGCGGATTATTACGGGAGATGCCGAGTACCGAAGAATACCCACGGAGGCTTTTATTTTTTTTTCGCATATATATATATATATGTTTCCGGATCATATCACCGGGTGTAGTTCAAAATTCAACCAATCCATAAATTCATCGGTCGGCTCGCAAGCAACACCATGTCCATATTTTTCGCAAATTGAGACGGTTAATAAAAAGCGCTATGTAAGCGTACGAGCACGATGCACAATAAAAAAACAAGGCAATTTCATGTAGCCTCTGTAACGCAATACGACTATCCAGATACCCGCTACATATTCAGATATTCTAGATATTATTCTGTTTGCACGCGCTAACGTTTGCATTTCAGGGGGTGAGATATATAAAAAAAATATATACATATATATACATATTGTATATCTTTATATCTTTACTTACTCAAACAATTCCGATTTTCGGCTGTCGATTCCGTGGTAGCGTCGCGCGCATTTGTACGGATTTTTAAGTTACCTCTCATTTCTCTCCCTCCTCCCCCATATGATGACGAATCCGTTATCATTCCGTATCTAGCTTTCTTGTAAGTAAGGGGCGCGCACGCCGTCCACTCCTTTTTCCCCGTAACGCGATCGAGCGAGAGATCTCGCGATAATCCACTTTCTCCTCGGTGGCTCGCTCGATGATCCCGGCGGAAAGTAGAAAGCTGTACGTGACGTTCGGCTTTATTTCTGCCGGCGGCAAAGGGAAATAACGCAATCGGAATTTGTCGGGGGGCGGCAAAAGGCGCGGGGGCAGGGGATAAGGGAACGAGATTTTTCGAAACCGCTTTCCCTCCCCCTCGCCGCTCTCGTCGTCGTCGACGTTGTCGCCATCACCGTCGCTATCGGGGATATTTTAAATCACGTCCGAGATAATCGAATTCCACGCCGCGTGGAGACGCAACGCGCTCCGCCCGGACGTTATTCACCCTTTAATGGCGGATTCGCACCCTCGTCCTAGCCACTTCCTCCCTGCTCTCTCTTTCCTGCTGTTCCCACCGGAGCGCCATTTACGCATCGCTGCTACCGGCGACGGGTCCGATCTCGTGAAGAATGCAAAGGCTCCTCTGGGGAACATCCCCCTCCCGGGCGCGACGTCCTCCGGTCCGTGTCGTCCGTAAATTGTACCGTCCATCCTGATTCCGTGGCCGCGACGAGAAACACCCGACCGTCTCATCTCCATCACCGATATCGTCGCGTATTCTGTATCCAACGAGATAATATCTCCGTATATCCGTGACGACGTTCCGGCCGCCGGAATTATAGAGTACGCGCGCGGCCCTCCGGAGGGGACGAGCCCGATATTTATTGGCCGGCGTGTCCCTTTCGCCCGGAGAAAAAGCTCAACGAGGAAAGCTGCGGTCACGCCGGCCGCGGCCGCGGCCGGCCGGCGGCGTCTCTCCCTCTCCGTTGTTAATTTCGATACGTTCCCCTCTCCTCTGTTTCTCCCTTTTCCCTCGCGTCTTTTTCCTTTTTCACGACCCCGACAACGGCTGGTCTCTCGATATTCGAGAGCAGCTCTCGCGGCGCGGAAACGCTGGATACTCGGCTTCCGGGCTTGGGCCGTGTGCTCTGCGAATTCATTTCCATCGTTTCGCGATCGGATTTTCATTTCCGATTTTGATCAACGGCTGACTTTACACAGAGAACGCGTGCGCGCGCGCACGCGCGCGCGTGTAATTCTTCATCCATGCCGAGCTGACTACCTTCGCCGCCGACGAAGGGAAGGATGGATGGAGATCGACACATGTCGACAAACGCTTCCTTCCCCCTAAACGTAAACCAGCGGGAAACATCGGTTATTCCTAGATCCGCGTTGGAATTGCGTCGTATCGGCGTGGATGTTTGACATTGGTATGGATGTCAAACATCTATATCAATACACCCGCCGCTATTGATCCAGATGTTTGACATTGTTGTGTGCTTTAGCTACCGATATTGTAACCGTTATTACAGCGCGTCGCGCGACCGGAAGATGATATTTATTTTCGAGCAGAACTCTCTGTCTTTCCCTCGCTCGCTCTCGCATTCTCTCCCTTCTCTCCCTCTTTTTCCCTCCCACTTCCGCCCATTACGTGCACGCTGGCTCATTCTGAAGAAGACGTGGCGGAAGAGCGGTGAGACTATCCTGCGGATCCTATCCGAGTCTCCCCGGCCTTCGAGATTCGAGAGATCGCACCTCGTGTGTTAATAACAGGAAGAACGTCGTCGCGCCGAGTGGACTCCATTGTCGGCGTCCGGCGTCGCTTTGTACGCCCGTAATCGCGACGGTGCAGCGCCGTGCGACTCTCGGCCGACGTACTAATTATCGATTTTCCGCAGGCATCGCGCGCCCTTTCCGCGGGGCGAATTACTCGACGTGTCGCGTTTTAGTTCGCGTAGTCAGCTACGAACGTACGTAGAGTCGCACGATCGCAAGACACGGGGGAGAATTGCGTTGGAGGGATCTGACGTTGAATGTGAGACGGTTGCGCGCGCGCGCAACCGTCTTACTTATTGAATAGATCTTTCAATCAGGTATAATCTTTCGGAGCACAGACAGCGGAGATGCGCGACGAGAGAAAGAGAGGGATAGAGACGGAGGGAATCACACTATTTTACAACTCGAATGCGTATTAAAGCTCGGGCTGTTCATATTCTCCAGAAGAAGGCCGACGAACTCGAGCCAGCGAGAGAGAGAGAGAGAGAGAGAGAGAGAGAGAGAGAGAAAAAAAAAAAAAAAGAGAGAGAGAGAGAGAGAGAGAGAGAGAGAGAGAGAGGGAGAGAGTAGGAAAGAGAGCGAGCGAGCGAATATCTCATCTCTATATCGAACTGCCCCCGTTGCCTCTTTTCTCCCTCCTCTTGCGGAAGCTCGCTCGCCGATTTGCGAGAGAGCGGGTCTAGAAAAATGGCCATCGGGTTTTCTATTATCCCGATAAACATCTCACGGTGATCCGGACGGTTTGTCAATAGCGCGGTATATATACAGTCGAGGTGTTCGACGGATCCGCTTTCGCAGTAAGAGAAAGGCAAATGCAATATCGCGCAGAACGTCCCCGGGATTACATATCCTTCAAGCGCGCGCGCACACACGCTCGAGCTCTATCCTATTACCGAGCCGAGAGACTTCGGTTATCTAAATTCGCATATCCTTGTCATTCGCCGTAATACGATTAGCTCTATCGACGAAGGAGCCTCGAAAATTGAATTCATCGTGTGTCACACGTTTCGCGAAGAAGACAGAGAAAGAGAGAGAAAGAGAAGGAGGGAGGGAGGGAGAGAGGGAGATAGATAGAGAGAGAGAGAGAGAGAGAGAGAGATAGACAGACAGACAGAGAGAGAAAGAGAGGCAACGTCCGCATCTGTCTTTGATCAATTCATCGGGTAGCTGTGGGTATTTTAATATGCAGTTTTCGTCTTGATTGCAACAACGATGTCTCGTTACCACCGAGTTCGAGTTCGCGTTGCAACCGTGTTGCATATGGATTCGCGTCGTGCTCTGTGAGAATGAAAAATGATCAATTGAAGAGAACGAATCTCACGAGTCGCGCGAACATGAGCGAGTTGAAAGAGAAAAAGAGGGGAAGAGAGGAGAAGAGAGGTAGATACAGTGAGAAAGGCAGGCGCAAATTTGATGTCGCGGTGACGGCAATAACACCAGCATCAACATCAACACCAGCTGCAGCGGCAGCGGCAGCGGCAGCGGCAGCAGAGCAATGGTAGTGGTAGCGGTGACGGTAGATACTTACAATTCATGTCTACGCTGACCGACGCCGACAGCGGGATCGACCTATTGTTATTCGTGGCGTTGCAGGTCAGCATCGAGTGGACGTCGTCCCGACCTAAATTTTGTATAACGATCTCGCTGCGTGTCACGCCGTTGCGCAGCGTGCTGGTCCTGTTGCTGACGAATTTGTCGTTGCGATACCAGGACACCGTCGGGGCCGGCTTACCTGCGGAAATACATCAATTTCGTGTGAGTCACCGCGCTCGCGCGTCAATCTCGCGGATAAAAATGATCGAGCTCGGCTCATCGTATCGCGGCCATTATCGACGAGGAGCGCAGCTCGACCTAGACCACCGACGTCGTCCCTCTTCCGCATTCCCGACGTCTCGCGGAGAGACGCCTCTTTTCGGAGCAGGCGCGCTCGGCTTTGAACGCCCATATTTTTTGTCCGGTCGCTCAAAAAATCGCAAAGTATCATGATACCGCAGCTGATGTCGTGTGCACCATTGTAACGATATAATACGGGTGTCGATATTGTTCGAGAGGAAGCTCCGTTCAAAGCGCGATATAATATAATAATGATGAAATATAATAATCATATTGCGTAATTATCGAAGGGAGCGAGGGAAAGAAAGAGAGAGAAAGAAAGAGAGAGAGAGAGAGAGAGAGAGAGAGAGAGAGAGAGAGAGAGAGAGAGAGGGAGAGGGAGGATACTGACGCCGTCATAGAGATCGAACATGAAATTAGTCTTTTATTATAAACGAGCGGGAGAGTGCGCCATATTAAACAACGGGGACTCGAATATGCATTACGTTGGAAGCAAGCATTTGAGCGCGTGATCACTTGGATTATGTATCCGCAATTATCCGACCGTGTCGTGCGGTATATATAACATACATATCTGAATACCTAATCACTTAATATAATTGGTAACGTAAATTAAAGAGTATTAATAATTAACGTGGCAAATTAATAAAATCACAGCGTGAATTCGTTGTTGCGCGCAAATAAAAAAAAGTAAATAAATAATTAAATACATACATATATACATATATATGTGTATATATATATATATATATATATATTGCGATTTTTGCAAAATGATACATGACTTTTCTTCTCAATTTCATTTGACTAATCTTCACAATTTTTCGTTTCCGAAAGATCCCGGATACCCTGTATATATGTAACGTGGAAATAGTCATGGAGTATATCCCGACGTTATACGCGCGGGTACTTAATTAACGCGCGACACTGATACATCAACGCGGAGCGAGTCCCTCGCGGAGTGGATTAATCTATTAAAGTCTCGGCGCAAAATCTGGAGACTGTTAAGCGCGGCGCGGATTGTCATGGGGTCGCGGCCGCGGATCCCGCTATTTTCTCGATGCGCATCTCCCTCGCGACGGGGATCCCGCGCGCGAGCACGGCTTTAATTTGTCCTCGTGCGGTGCTCATTTCGCGGTGCGCGCAGTTTAGCGTAACGTAACGTACGCGAGACGCGCCCCGTAACGCCATGTTACGTATGCGTGCGCCAGCGAGCGACGCAAGAACAAACAAACTGGGATTATTTAACCACGGTCGCCCCTCGATTGTTTCGCAACGAGCAAATATTTACATCCTACAATGCAATTTATAATGCAATTAATGACATAATTTAAATAATAAATTAATGCACATATCAGCGCGTATAATTAATTAATGTTACGAGCTCGTGTCGGCTGCGTTCTAACGCCCTCGATTGTGTCTATTAACGCTCCGCTCGACGTCGGGATATGATCGGGGCAAAGATGATTATTAAAATATCGACACACACACACAATACTCGTCTCGTCTCGTCCTCTCTCTTTCCCGCCTTGTGTTTATCCGACAAGTTGACAAGCCACGCGACTACAAGTTCGCTGATAGATTCGTCGACTTGACGGAAGCGTCGAGGGAGACCGTCATTTATCAGAAACTTTCCAATTTGTCGACATTACATATCTCCTCCCCCGCACCACAGTCCGAATAAAAATTCTACCAAAGTGAAGTCCACTCGCGAGAGTAACCGGAGGCTTCTCGTTATCTATTTGTGCCGCTGAAGTTGAGCGGACACGAGCGCGGGAGGAGACATTCTCTTTTAATCTCCCCTAAACTCGGAAACTATAAACGTCGCGACATTTTCACCGAGGAAAAATCGACCTCGCGCGCGCGCGCGCGCGCGCGTCCCTCCGGCCGGGGAGAGTCCGTCGTTAAAATTAACGTCGCGGGAGACGCTCTCGTAGGTGAAAATAAAAATCCACGCCGCTTGCCGACGCTAACTTGCCGGAGCTGGACCAAAAAGTCTCGGGCGTATTCGCGACCGCGCACCGTGCGTATCGATCGTGCCGATCTCGCAGGGCGGTATTTGCGCGCCGAAACGCCGCGCGCTGCGGAGCGCAAACGAAAACGGAAGGAGGAGGAAAAAGGAAGAAACTGGTGCTCCCAACTTTTTTCGAGGAGGAGACCTACGTCGCGGAAAAGGCCGCAGTGCGGCGCAGCGGGACAGACGGAATTCGTCGTCGGAGTTTCCTCTCGTCCTCTCGTCACTCGTCGTTCGCGCTGTGCTACTCGCGAAAAATCCCTTTTCACGATACTCACCTCCATGGACGTCGCAGAAGAGCGTCAGACTGTCACCCTCCACGTACGGGCCGACCGTCGAGTCGCGCACGTTCCCGTCCGTGTCGACGACCACGATCTTGTGCGGCGGCACTGTAAACGAACAGAAACGTCGATATATTTATCGTGGGCGAATATTCATGAGCGGAGGTTGCTCTCCCCCCTGGCTGGTCGCATCGTCCCAGCCGAGCGGTGTCGCGACGCGACTCTCGCGTATAGCGGGTGTCCCAGGGTGAGGCGACGCATAGGAGGAGCTCGGCGGCGTCACGAAAAGTCCGATAACACGAAATTGCTATTGGAAAGATCGCGTCTGAGATATCGGTGACGGCATTAAATTGAAATCTGAAATCGATATCGAGCGCCTACTCGCTCGCTCGCTCGCTCGCTCGCGCGCGAGCCGTGCTTCCGTCGCACACGGTACGTATGTACCGGGTGTTGCGTTCGTGCGGATCTCATCCAGGCGCCTCCACCATCTCGACGGCGAGCGGCGAGCCCGCACAGAGTCGAGAATTGTTAGCGACATCGTATGTCGGATGATACGGGGCGAAGTTCGTGAGTGAGCGGATCTTGAAATAATAAGAACGACGGCTCGAGGTGAAAGCCACACTTTGGGGCGTTTCCTTTCGAGCTCGCGCGGTATTTTCTAATTCCTGTCGCGGTAAATGAGTTTATCGCTTTATTCGAATTCCCGGCGGTCTTACGGAAATCAGATTGTGACACTCGGGATGTTTGCGTAAGACGGAGGAGTGCCACTCGACGCCGCGGGAATTCGCGGCTGATGTAATTGGAAAATTACAATCGCAAAAATCACGACCCGCAAAGCGCGTCGGTTCAAGCACACTCTTGCTTCCGCCCTTATTTTTCCACCCTCGCTGCCTTCTCTCTCTCTCTCTCTCTCTCTCTCTCTTTTTCCTTCCTTCTTCACCCCCCCCCTCTCTCTCTCTCTCTCTCTCTCTCGCCGCATAAGGAATTATTTTGGTTCCGCACTCGGAGCGGAAAGATGTTTTGTACTTATTGCGGTTTCCTTTCACGGCGCATCTAGCGTGACAGTTGCTTGCGAGCTTTGAAATCAAAAGCAGCAACTTGTCGAGCCGCTGAAATACAGTCGCTTCCTTCGGTTTTCATCAAATGCATTATTACCGTCACCGAGAGAAAGGACCCACGCAAAAGTCACATCTCTTATCCCATCCATTCCCGCCGTCCGTTCCCCGAGGACCATCCTTTTATGATTCCAATTGCAAATTTATATTCGCGCGACACGACTTTGAGCGTCGTCGTTATAATAGTTTTGTTCGCGGGTATGACTAATTGTAGGACCAATTCTCGCGCGCAAGCCCTGCAAGTAGAATAAAGTAGACGGGAGCGCGCCGAGCCGCCGTTCGTTTCCGGCTTCTCATTTCCCAGTTAACTTCTTCGGGTTTTTATTCGGGACACCTCTTTGGATGCAAATACGCTCCTCGCGGGACAAGAGGGACCTCATGAATATCGCGCTCGATCGGATTGCGCTCGATCGGCATCGCGAGAGGATCGGACGCGCTAATAGACGTTCTCAGAAAGCGTCCTCAGCAGGCGCCCTCAAGTTGCGTTATTACGGCCAACGATTTTGTGGGTTCCTCCCTTTCTCATTCTCTCCGTCTCTCTCCGACTCTCTCTCCCCCCCCCCTCTCTCTCTCTCTCTCTCTGCGGAGGACCTCTCCTACCCTCCGTCCATCGACCCGCCGTTCTCCGTCTTCGTAATCCTGACAGATGGTATGCGGGGAGGTATCATTTATCGGTATTAGCCTTTGTAGTATTTGCAGTATCATAGTCCGCCATGTAATACGTTATGTATCTCGGGCGTCTTCGCGCTCGCGCGCCCCGTAAGGAGGGACATGATGTACTCGCGTCGATGCCGGTTCCCCCCGGCGTCGACCTCTTTTAAAAGGCGCAGCTCCGGGTCCGTAAGGACGCCCGGCGCAGCGGGGCGCGACGCAGCGCGCCATTAATCCGCGACAGGTCTGACAGTGGCGCACCTGCAACTACTGCCGTTATTTATTTCCACGGGAACTGCCGCTCGCGCTCTATACTGACGAGAATTATCGTGCTTTAATGAAACCGATCCCTCCGCTAAAATTCAATTTGTTATCCGACTGGTGCGCGCGCGCGCGCGCGAGAGCGCGAGCGCGATGCCCCCACCCCTCTCCCATCGACTTTCTTGCGCTTCGCTACTTTCTTTCCTAATTATCCGCCGCCCGTTGTTTGCCGCGCTAAACGACGCGCGCGCGATCATCGCCTCCCTCCGTTTCCCACGGCCGAGTCGGCCGCCCCCGGTCATTTTTCATACGTTCCACTTAGCCGTGGCAGGCGCGCGCGTTCTCCAGCAGGCGAGAGAGAAGTCGCGAACTCGGGCCCGCGCCGCGACAACGATTAGATTTGTTTCCCTGCGGTTAACGGCGATTTCGTGATTAACGTAAAGACGGATCTCGGCAGCCTGCGGACGATTACCGCCGCGCCACCGCTAATGTCACCAGCCAGCTCGCCCAGCCAGATCCTCCTCCCCCCTAAACGTTTTTCAATTACCACGTAGCGGGCATATAATTTTCCTAGAGTCATGGACGCCGGCAGAGATATTTACGGTTATGACGATACAGCGCGGGCTGTATTCCTTTCCATACAGCTCCGGGGGAAGGACCACGGAGATAAATTGATTCCGCATTATGTCCTATCGCGTCTTTGTGATAAAATAGCGCGACGATATTTTCTCAGACCGCTCCACCTTTAACAGAAAAAACCCCTCCCGCCCTCTTCTCCCTTTCTCTTTTCCATTTACCCTCCTTGCCAGTGTAACTCGCGGAATATGCGGTTTCGGTCGTCGGTCGGCGCGCGTTCCCGCCGTGTCCCCCCAAAATCGATTGACTTATTCGCTATTGAAACGCGCTGCAAACACTTTATGTTGCGGGTTGTGTGTGCGCGCGCGCGAGAGAGTGTGTGTGTGTGTGTATAGTCGTCACAAAGGAGCTCGCCGGGCCGATTACATGCGAAAATTCGCCATAAAGCATATCGGAGCGTAATGCAGTTATTATAACAAAGTATACACCGTCGTAAGTTCTGGATTTGTATTTCCGCGGTAACAGCAGACTCTTCGACGGTCTGCGTGGACAGGAAGGGAGGAGGGAGGGGGCTAATATCCCGCGCACGATCCGCACGGACCCGTCGTCGTACGGCGACGGCGAATCGACCGGAAGACGGATCGACGAAATATTCGACAGCGATCGGCGTGGACTATGTCGCTAACTGTGCGTTTCTCATTGTCTTCTCGAAATTCCTCGAGGAGGGTGGAATCGCACTCGATAAGTGAGAGCGACCGCGCCGCGCCGACTCGCTCGGCTTCGAGCGACTTCGCACTTTCGCAGATGAATTCTCCGCTCCGAATGGTCGGGTGAATATTTTCACTCGAAATTGAGGAGGGCGGGAGAGGCTGCTGTGTACTCCATCGCGTGACGGAGGCAGGCGTGGATTCGCTCTAATCGGCTGAAACACTCACTCGTGCGGTGTCAGAATCCACTCTGAGCTCGGAGGAAACGCTCGCTCTTACGATTCCGTGCGTACGGCCGTATTTTTTCGCTGTCGCTTCGAGTGAATTCAGGTACGTCCGTTTTCGAGCCGAGGCTCCAGCCCGAGTCGGAATTTCCAGCGAGAACCGGAAACAAAATCGTTCCGCTTCCCCGTTTCACACGAATTTAATCAGTCCCCGCGTGGCGAGAAGTGGCGTTTTCGGAGGAGCCGCCGTGATCAATCCATTCTTCTCTGTCTTCGCCGCGGCGCCACTCTTTTGTGTCTTTTTACAAAACACATTCGATATTATCCCTCGCATCGCACTTTCTCATTCGCGCTGCACAATTCCGCGCGCAGTTGACCGCGCCGTTTCATCCACGAGCTCGTACTTCGCCGGCAATTCGGCCGCGCTCGCGCGATCGCGTTCGTTCATTCGTTCGCGCGACCCGGTTCAGATTTATTGTTTATAAAGGCTCTTGATTTCGTGGGGAACGGAAGGGGGGAGGGCATCATCAGCATCGAGAACGCGGCGTCGGGCCGGCTGGCACGGGAAGTCCGAAACTGTTTTTCGTGATTAATGCCGCGCCGGCGGGCCGTCGACGAGACGGGGGAGGCGGAGGAGCGTGCGAAGGGTGGAGAAGGGCAGGCGAAGGGGGGAGAAGGTCGGCAGGGAAAAGGGGTAGTAGCGGTAACGGACGACCGAGCCATCGGGTGGTAATTGTCGTGCCCGCAGTTACGCTGGTTAATTTGAGCCGCCAAAAAGTTACTTCCGCCTTTTGCTACCGTCGTGGCCATAAAAAAATTTTACTGCGATTCGTGCAGGTGTGCAAATGAAGTCGTATCGGTCTGCTAACGACGCCAGTGCGCTATAGCGCTCTCTCTCTCTCTCTCTCTCTCTCTCTCTCTCTCTCTCTCTCTCTCGCGCGCGCGCGACGTGCAGGATTTGATTTCACCGGGCCAAACTTTACGTCTGCCGTATGTGCGTTCGCGCTCGCGCTCGCGCCAAGTTTCCAGCCAGATAAATCGGCGCAAGAGCGCGCTCGTGAAATAAAATATACGCGACTGCGGTATAAAGGGTTCAAATTGAAATCGCCCGCCGTGTGTCATCGGATATTTCGGCCGTGAGAGAGCCGCCGCCCCGTACCCTGAGGGCGTAATGATTTTCTGAGGGCGAGGGAGAGAGCCTCTGGGATATTACCGGTCGCGCGACTTTGACCGCGCTAAATTATCGCGAGCGAATACCTCCGTTCCGATCGAGCACGTACGCGCGCACGTATGTGCATGCGTGCGTGCGTGCGTGCGTGCGTGCGTACGTGCGTGTGTACGCTACGAAGAAATCGCGATACCGCTGAGAACGTGGCACGTATGCGCGCCGCTTTGGTCCTTGCATTGCCAATAATTTGCATAATGTTATCGCTTCATGCGCATATATTTTGACGTGATCGCGCGCACGCGCGCTCGTGCGCGAATTTCATCACACACATCCGGCTGAACGAAGCGTTTTTACTCCAAATTACGCGTGCAATTTCGCTTTTATATCATCGCGTTTGCTCGCCGCC